TATAATTACACTACTCAGCATGTGAATCTACAAGGTCCCTGTGGATTGATATCCGGAACCACTGTTCTGCAAAATGCGATACTGTATACTTGCGGTAATTTATACGTGAGGAAAACGCGTATCAGTGCAATGCGTGAATAATGTGGAAATTGATTCTTGACTTCACATAAGTATTTCCTTTACGGCACCCACCTCTTGCGATTATTTTTGTAGGGAGTGACTAAAAAGAAAAATGATAATTTTATCCTTCACATCATATCTTATTATTGGTAATAAATAGTTTTATAGACATTTCATATATTATAACCGAATTTAACAAATTTTATAGAATATATAATCTAAGAAATCGAATACCTTACTAACTTAAAATTAATTAGTCAATAGGATATTAATCCAATCTCGTATAATCCAATATTTGTAGCCGAACGAGCCCTAATACCTAAATTTATCTACTGTTATTCTCTAATAGATAATAAGGGATAATCCGACATACCGTTGATTGGGTTACATGATTAAGAACAACAAAACAACACCACATAGGCAGCGGCAACAATAATTTTCTCCTATGAATTAATTCGTGGATTTGTTCTCTAATTAAAGGAAGATCGGATATTTGAAAAACATAATTTAATCCAACCATCTTTGTAATATGCTTATGTAACCAATATGATTATCCTACGGGGTTAGATAAAAAAAAAATGTGATTTACAGAAAAATCTTAAATTTCATTGCATTTATGTTCTTAATCACAGTGGCCGATCGAACACATATCTCATTGTTCAAGTGGAAGATTGGCTAATTCTTGACAAAGTGTAGTATGAATTAGTGAATGAAATGACTAAAGCTTTTGGTTACCTTTGCCCAATTCCATGTTACGATTTGCTTTAGCTATTGATGTCCCTCCACATACCATTTAATAACCATTTTATGAATTCAAAGTTTGATTATTCAACTTTGAATATTTGTTGCCATGTCCCTATACTTATTTAAAAAATATAAAAAATGCTGTCTTTTCTTAAATAAATTTAAAAAAAAAAATTATTTTAATAACCCTGATGTCGAAATTTAGTGGGACTAATTATGCGAGTAAGCAAATTATATATATACTTTAATTATAGGGAGGTTAAGATATAAGTTTCCCGTAACAAAATTTATTAGAAATAATGACAAGCTCAATTCGACATTTGCTCCTCATCCATTATAAGAATGCAAATTAACCCGCCCTACAGGCATCTGTGCTACTCTGATTTATTGGGTAATCCCGCCCCCATTAGCTAATGAGGCAGGTACATGTTTTAAAAAATTTACCCGTAGCGGGTACGAGACGGGTACATATTTTGAACATATGCACCATTACTCGCATCTTATCGAACTCGTTTATATATTTTATTAATTTTATATATTTTGATATTATAAAATACTAATTTTTAAAAATATTTTAATTAAATAATTATAAATATAAAACAAAAGGTATATTTACGGGTCCGGGGCGGGGTGGGTACGGGGCAGGTTTTTATACGAGGCGGGGGCAGATTTAAATAAAATCAAACCTGGAACGCGCACAAGACGGATATGGATACAAAACGGACATGGGTGGGAAATTTGCTAGCGGGGCAAGTGCAGATTTTCAAATACCCACCTTGTTCCCACTCCACAGCCATCCCTAAGAGCAGCTCCAACCTTGTTCATTTTGGAGTGGTAAAAGCTAAATTTTACTAATTTTAGCATTTTCAATCAAAAAATCATGCTCCAAATTAAGGAAGAGGTATAATTTACCTCATTAGCTAAAACCAAAATTCCAAATGCTAAATATACCACTTACTATTCACAAGAGCTATATAAAAGTATATTAAAATAATATACTGAACCCCACACCCCATCTCCCAAAAGTGATAAAATTAAAATTGATTACCCACTACGTCACTTTTTCAAATAGCAAATGTAATAGAATATTATAAAATGTTAAATTATAGATGGTATGGTTGGAGAATGCACAAAAAATTAACTTGTTAAAACACTATTTAAATGCTAAAATAAGTATAGCATGCCAATTTTTACCTCCCATGATTGAAGATGCCCTAATCCTTTATCAAATTCATTCCAAAAAATTTCTTTGCACACAAAAAGAAAATTTTCACCAAACAATATTTAAATTGCGCATTTATCATTTTTTATTTAATATTTGATATTTTTAATTTTGCATCTACTATTTTTGTAAAAAAAAAAACAATTACGTAGAGCATGTTTTATTTTTTTTTTCCTTTTCAGTATTTTTTTCATTATTATAAAAACCTATTTTTTTCTACATAAATATGGAAAATATCAAAAGAACATTTTTTATCCGACACTCATAGGAACCCATAGTCATTTGTAGTCACAAGTTGAAAATACTTGCCCCCATTTGAACCTAGCCGCCATCGTCCGTAGACACACTCTAAGTAATGCATAGTCACTTGCAGTCATCCGTACTCATTCAATATGAAACCCTAGATCCCCGCCAATGCCACCACTGCCTTCGCTATTGCCATAAACACCCTCACCATAACCACAACCACCACTGTTGTAGCAGCCGCCACAACCACCACCACCGTTGAATTCGTCTCGTCAAGGGCTTTCTTTGGGTTGTGATTTCGTACTATTTGGATCGGTAGATCTGTTTCTGTGGACGTTCTACCAAGCGCGCAGTTTGACAATGAAGGTTCTGTTTGGATGCTTATCTCCATCTCCGGTTGTTGGAAATTAATGGACTTTATACGGTTGGATTCTCCTTGTCAATAGATATCTTTGAGCGGTGAGTTTGTATGATTGGATCTCTTGATCCATTTTTGTGAGTGATCTAATGTGTGTGCGGTTTGATGGCGAAGGAAATTATTGGAGACATAACTTCTTCATCGTTGGTTAGAATTCGACGGTTTTTCCATCTTCCGATTCCTCTCTTCAAGGGCTTTCTTTTGGTTGTAATTGGTACAATTTGGATCAGATGATCGTTTTTATGATTGTTTTACAGTGTGTTGCGTTCTAAGCGTTGGCGAGGCTTGTTTGCGGCACCGACAGGGGGTTCCTAGTGTTTGGTGGCTGGCGGCGGCGCAGATGTCGCAGCCACCAAGACTATCCGCACTATACCCACCACCATCATGTCGCCGCCTCTTTTGCCGCCATAATCGTGCCTCTACAATCGTGACACCACCGCCTTCCTTGACTATGGCGCTGGGGAGAGAGAGTAAGATAAATAGATCTGGAGAGAAATGTGAATATAGATGTTAAATTTACGGTAAAATGGCAAATTAAGAACAAATAAAAAATTACCGATATTGGTCATATTATATTTTGAAATATGAGCGTTTTAAAAAAGTTTGGGATTTTCATGTAGTTCTAATTATGTTTGGTACAATGTACGTTTACATATTAACCCCTTCATTATATAACTTAATAAGGTCTATTTCATTATTCCCTTCATTCGATAATGTTTGTCGTTTAAGATTATCCAATTGAATCCTAGAAAATGACGACATAAGAAAAATCTTTAAATGTAATAAAAGAGAGTTTAATATTTTATAGAGTTGAATTAATAATAATACTAAGAGAGAAAAAAATACACTTAGTTCATTATTAAAATTTTGAAGTGACGGAACAATAATATGTAACCAAAGAAGTATAACTTTATGAGATTTTTTGGTGAAGTAATATAACTATTTCTTTTTATTGAAGTAGAGAGGCTTCTACGGAAAAGCCTAAACAACAGAATAGATCATCATCTGTTTTAGTAAAAAAAGAAAAATAATAGAATATATCATCATTTCAATATAATAAATCTTACAAACCTGAACTGAGGTACAAGTACAAATAAACAAGGGAAAAAAATGTGGCAAGAGACGTGGAGTCAACTCTTTGGTATGGGATTTAATTAAAAGAAAAAAAGAAAAAAAGAAAAAAAAAAGAAAAAAAGAAAAAAAAGAAAAAGAAAAAAGAAATGGTGTTACTTACCAAATCAGCAAACATTTATTAATTGGATATGTAACTTGGAAGTGTTCCTGAATGGAATATTAATTGATTTAGGAGAGCGACAACCCAACATAAATACGGCCACGCCCACTTATTTACAGCTCAGCCGGCCATTTTGACTCTTGACAGAGACACCCCCTATTTTCAAACATTGTGTTTGCTGTGCTTTGCTGGTGGGGAAAATTATACCCTCTCAATTCCATATATATATATATATATATATATATATATATATATATATATATATATATATATATATATATATATATATATATATATATATATATATATATATATATATATATATATATATATATATATATATATATATATATGTGTACCAAAAGGCGAAATCCCTCGTCTCAGGATCCCCATTCCTTGGCCCGACAAGTATTTGATGGAGAAATGTAAATTATGCTGACTCAACGGTCCGTTAGTGTAGTGGACCTGGTACCCACAAGGAACCAATCCTTATTGAAATTGAAATTCCTACACTGCGACTGCCATGATTCGATCCTAGGTTATTGTAGCTAGCTACTTACCACCCAGAACCAGTTGAGCTATATATAGGCATGTAGGTATTAGTATATATTTATTTCATTTTAGTAGAGGCGAGTGTGCATACTAAATATCATAACAATACGTAATCACCATTTAGTAAACTCATAATTAATAAATCACTACTAGTGTTTAGAACTCGTGTAATATGTGATATATCCTTTGACGTGCTCAACAAATGTAACATCAACGGTTGTTGCAAAAGGCAATAAAACAAAAAACAAAAAGAACATTATATTGGTGTGTTTCATGAGGACCTCACCTTCCAACACTGCTTCAAATTCAAATATATACACCTTTGATTTATTTATTTGCAATTTAAAAACAAACAATTAAACAAACACACACACACGGACGCGTAATATATTATATATTGAATGGAGAAAACCAACCATTTTTGTCTGTGCGTGGCATCATTTTTGTTGGGGACCTCCAATTCCAAATAATATATATGATCACCAAGTTCCTTGTTGTTTCGCACGCACCTTTGATCATCGATCGGTCGCTTATATAAAATCCATTCTTGATCGATTAATATTGATTTCTCTCAGCAAAGCTAATTAATTAATTTAAAGTGGTATAATTAATTATATTGTTTGCTGTGATCGATCATGGGTTTCATGAAGTTTGTCAAGTTTCTGAGGTTGAAGCTTAGTAGTTGCAAAAGGGTGGGGGGCAAAAGAGTTGCGGCTTTCGATATTGGAGACGATGACGACGATGTCGAAGACTATACTCTGAAATCTAATTCCATTTTTTCATGGGAAGAGATTCAGAAGTTGACTATGAATTTATCCATGGTTATTGGATATGGAGGGTTTAGTACCGTGTATCTTGCTCATTTACCCGATTCTACGACGGCCGCCGTTAAGATACAGTGCAGCAGCGAGCGTCTGAATCAAGCCCACAAGCTTGAATTGGAGATCTTGCAACATCTCCAACACCCTAATATTGTCAAGATTATTGGTCATTGTCACGACCGAGGTGCGCCTTTAATTTCTTTCTTCGATCACCAAATTATACGTCGATGTTTTTTATTTAATTATATTGTTCTAAATTATGATGAATGAATGATCATGCTATTCTTGTACTTGTCCACACCATATATACATCTATCTGATTATTAATTGTCATATTCATTATATTAAAATTACAGAAGAAGGCATATTGGTATTGGAGCACGCCCCGAACGGCAATTTACAAGAGAAACTCCACGGCTCGTCGAAGAATAATAATATTCATCTTTCGTGGAAGAAACGAATCTCCATAGCCTTCCAGCTAGCTAAGGCAATTGAGTACCTCCACAAACACCCTACCCTACAAATTATCCACGGCGACATCAAATCGTCCAACATATTGCTCGACCAAAATCTCAACTGCAAGCTCTGCGATTTCGGTTCATCGAAGATGGGATTCTCTTCATTAGTACTAAACCCTAATTCCAACTCCTTTATCCGTAGGAATCGAGTAACCATGGTTGGTTCTCCCGGTTACACGGACCCTCACTATCTGAGAACTGGGCTTGCTTCGAAGGAGAACGATATTTACAGCTTTGGTGTTGTTATTTTGGAACTCATAACCGGAATACAAGCGTTTAACCCTTCGACTGGTGAGAGACTAACGGTTAGGGCAGAACGGGTACTAAACAACGTCTCGAAGGCGGTGGAAATAGTTGACCCACGTCTCGAAGGGGACGTTGACTTTGAAGAAGTCAAAGCAATGGCTGCAATCTCCGCTATGTGCTTTTCCGATTCGCCCGTTCATCGGCCTTCTGCCTCTGATATATTGAACATCATGGCAAACAAGATTTCCTCCATATCCTCGTAACATATTCTATATATATATATATATATATATATATATATATATATATATATATATATATATATATTAAAAAATACCATTAAAAAAAAAACAAAGTATACGTATAGTTTATGTGTGATTGGTGATATACTTTTGAGTCTTGAATTGATTTAGATATAGATGGGGTGACTGTAAATTTTTTTTACCCATATATATAATCTCTACAAGCCGGCCAATGCATGTCTATAATATACGCATGATCATAAGGTTCCATTGGCCTATTTTCTATTTTGTTTTGGGAGTTAATGTAATTTTGAAAGATAATTTGGAAAATAAGTAAATGTTTGTTTTTATCGCGAGTTGTAATTTGGGAGGAGAGAATTTTTCACATTTGAAATGAAGTAATGAATGTTCGTATTTTATTGGGAACGTGTTTTATTGTAACTGTCAAAACATGTCTGATGATACGAACGATATATTAACAAACACATGTGTTTTTATTTTAATAAATACGAATATGTTTTAAACAAAACGACCGGAAATAATTTCGAAGCTAAGCGAAAATTATCGGAAGCTTAACAAACACATATAATTTTGGAACTTTAAAAAACGCATATATTTATTAATTTTCTTTGCAACAATATCCAATAATCTCATCAACATTAGGCAATGTTTGGATACGTTTTGAAAGTTATTTTCATTTTATTCTAGGGAGATATGTTTGAGAGAATAATTGGAGAATGAAAGTAAATGAGACAAAATACACTCTAGCGGTTAAATTATATTTAAATGTGTTAGAAAAATGTATTGGAGAACAAGAATTTGAAAAATAAAGTGATGTTTGTTTGTTTTTAAATGAAAGAACGAATTTTTTTACAGTAACAGTCAAATCTTTTTATTGTACCAATTACATCATGTTTGATGGAGAGAGAATTTTAGAAGTTGTTTTGGGATTTTTTCCTGGAAACCTTAACAAATGAATTTGTTTTGCGGAAAAAAATAAAGATGAAAATGTAACCAAACATTGCTGATGATTCTAACCAAACTTGTTGGATGAAAATGTAACCAAGAATTGAGTGTTAAGTGTATATTTATACACTTAATTATAGCTTTTAATTGGAGCTTTTGGTATATTTTAACAATAATTGGGGCTTAAAATGGCTATTAATTGTATTTTAGGTGCAAATTGAAGAATTGGAAACTTATGGGGTGAAAACTGCAAATTTGGAGAAAAAGTGGGCCAAAATTGAAAAAATCAGATTTCTGAAGAATTGAAGACCGCGCGGCCGCGCGGATTTCAAGCATAAATCTCACACGGCCGTCCGGATTGACGTAGGGGCGCAGTGAAGGAAGTTTAATTACACAAGGAAACCCGTCCTATTATATTTTTGCACCCTATTTAAAGGCCACAAGCACACAATTAGGATTATCTTTACCTTTCATCTTTAATCTTTAGTTTTTATTTTTCATCTTTCTACACGCAATCAAGGAACACAAGAACGAAGACGAAGACTTGACGAATCTTCATCCTAGTTCTCCTCTTTGATTTTTATAGCTTTTATGATTTTTCGTATTTTTATTATTCTTTTCGTAGAGAACATGAGTAGCTAAGTTTTTATTCTAGGATTTTATTGGAACCCTATGTGGTAATTCGAACCTATTTTTCTACTTTTATGCAAGTTTAATTCTTCGATTATTTCTTCTATTTTGATCGTATTTAGTGCATGAGCGTAGCTAACTTATGTTGCTATTAGTTATTGTTAGAATTGATTGACAGATCGTTTTAATAATTAGAACATGGATAGAAGAGCCTTCGATTAGTTCTCACCGAATGCGTGTGTTGATTGCATGTATTATCGTAGACATACAGATAATACCTTAGGTAGCCGTTTACGAGACTTGTTATTTAATGCTTTATTTATACTAGGTTTGCATAGACATATAGTGAATCTTTTATGAATAATAGGCTTATAACGCAACTGAAATAATTTATGGTCCCGAATTCGTTTAATACAGAGGTGTTGTCTTAAGTGTTATGACACTTGAACAAACATGCAGCGGAAATATAAAGACAAAAGAACAATACTCAGAATTAAACACGTTCACAAGTAAAGACTTGTGAACTTGTCCTTTACAGGACAGAAAAATATATATTAAAATCAGTATTCCAAGAATACAAACAGAAGAGGTGCGAAAACTTCTTCCTTACGAATGAATCTTTTTCAAGATCATTCTTACAATCAAATCTAGATACTAAAAGAAAAATATTAAAAATTCTAGATTTCAAAGATGTACTCGTGAGGAGTACGTAAAGAACTTATGAATGAATCACTATCTTGATCATTCTTACAACCAAGTCTAGAAACATATATACTAAACAATCTAGACTACAAAGAATGTACTTATGAGAAGTACGTAAAGAATGTACTCATAAGGAGTACGTAAAGAATGTACTCACGAAGAGTACAAACAACCGATTCTAAAACCTAACTAAAACACTCGTGTATTCTCTTCAGCCCTCGGTTTTTAATTCGTAGAATCGATTATCTTCCTTGAGTATTGAAGTCGGTATTTATAGGCATTCCAAGCATCCACTCCTCAGCCCATGATCTGCAAGAAAAACCAACTACAAGAGCACTCAAGAACATGGGTTAGTGGGTTAGTGGGTTAGTTTAATGAGTTAGAATAATATTCACAATTAAACCCACTTAAGCACTACTTAGCCCACTAAGCACTATACTTAACCCACTAAGCACTACTTATTCCATAACTAAAATTTAGTTTAAAAAATAAGAAAGTTAAAAACACAATGTGGAGATAATCCACGCTCACGTGTTTCAAACTCCCCCTTTTTAACTTTCTGATCAAAACTAAATTTTAGCTTAACTCCCCCTGAGTCATTGCTTGAACTCCCCCTGAATTTGACAACCAACATTAACATAAAAGTTCATAGGGAAAATAAAAACTGAACAAAACCATGTATTGTTCATTAAAACAAATTAAAGTAGAATATCCAAAGTCTCCTCAGTATCAGCTGCTGCTCCTCCATCATTAGCGCTGGATCCACTGCTTTCCTCTGCTCCTTGAACTTCACCCTCATTCCTTGCTCCCTCTTTATTGACTCCTTGCTCCCTGCCTCTGGCATCCAAAGGATGAGAAGTCCCTGCTTCAATCTTCATGAATAGCTTTTTCTCCCCCTTTTTGATCAGAAAGATCTCTCTGAAGTATTTCCACCATGCACTCATGATAGGTGATCTGAACTAGGGAGTGAGTAAGCTGTTTTAACAAAATAAATCTCGAGAAACAGAAATAAGGATGTCAGGAGTGTTGTCAACATGAGGAGCAACACCTTCAGTACCAAGATTATTTTGACCTGATTCAGTTGAGAGGGAATTATCTCCATTCCAGGGAAGATCTTAAAATTTTGAGAAATCAGAATGGAGTGGATGAGAGAGGGATTTAAAACGATTGCCAGAAAGAGTCTTACAAACTTCAGTAAAATCACCATAATTATCCTCATCAATCACAGTAGAAGTTTGTAAATGAGAGTTGATAATTTTGAAAAAAAATAGAATTTCACACAAAAACTTTTTTTTAAAGTTTGGAGAATTTTTCTTTAAAAAAGAAGTTTGTAAATTGGCATAAAAATTCCTTCACAACAGAAAGATCATAAGGACAGGCAACCTCAACTTTGATCAAGAAAAACAGTGATCCTATGCCTATCAAACTCATCATTTGAAAATTTTCTTTTCCTCAATCTGAATCAGATTCAAAATAAAATATATAACTGAAAGCATTGTTTTACCTCAAAAGGAGTTGACAGTTCCTTCCCATCCAAGTCTAGCTCTTCTTCTTCTGAAGATTCCTCTTCTTCTGAGTCTTCAAGTTCATCTGGTATGCATGCTGGCTCAGGTGATGCAACAGGTGGAGCAGCATCTTCTTCTTCTTCACTTTTCTCTTCTTCTTCAATCTGGGAAGGTGGTGCATCCACTTGAACAGCTGCCTTTGCTAGAATTTCCAGAAGATCTTCATGAGGAGCTGAGGGTGTTTCTTCAGTAGTGGTAAAGTCCTGAGCATTAACAGTGGGAATGTCAACATGCTCGGCAGATGACATCCCTGAAAAATCAGGCATTTCTTCTTCCTGGTAGGGAGCAGCATCCTCAGCAGCACTCTGTGAAACATTGGCTGAGTCAGTGGGTGCAGCAGCATCTTCAGGAACATGTGCAGCAACATCTTCGGAAACCGGATGTTGAGAAGAGTTATGCTGAAGTGTCTCCCCCTGAGTTGATACTCGTGAAGTCGAGTCTTTGGAGGATGACTCAGTGGATCTTGAGGAGAGAACTTGGGCTTCTGATTCTGCAAAGGTAGGATCTCCTTCTTCATCATCCGTTTCTTCATCAACCAAGTGAAGGCCTCTTGGTGGATTTGACCTAACTGGAGTACGACCGCCTCTGCCGCCTCTTCTTCCACCTCTGCCGCCTCTGCTGGGAGAATTTCCTCCCCTTCGACGTTGTGACCCAGTTGCATTCAGATCATGGAATGGATTCATGCACTTGGACCGGCGAGTAGGAAACCTTTCTGCAGTGGAAGAGGGATCCACGTTCTGGAAGTTGTCTGGGTCAATTGGATTCAGCTCGTCTCCGGGCTCAATGAAGCTGATCGGCATGGCTTCAAGGTTGACAGGATGAACGATGATGGCTAGATTAGGATCTGCTGGTTCAGGTGCTGCAGCATCCTTGTGCACATCATCAACGGTTGGAAGAAGATTTCTAGGAGGAGATGCCATGATACAGTAGATAAAAAATTGCTTCTTGTGCTTTTGATTTTTGAGTGTGAATTTTCGAAAAAAAGAAGCACGAAACTTATAAGCCCTAATTTTTCTTGAAAAAAAAAAACATTGAAGTGGAGAAGGTGAAGAAGTGGTGTGCGTTTTTCTTGGAGAAAGTGTGATTAAGGGGAATAAAAGGTCTATGTGGCAGTTTAAAACAAAATGTGACACATGGCATAATAAGGAGTGGACTTAGTGGAAAATGAAAGA